GGGAGGATGGGCATGTATTAAGAAGGGCCCTTGATTTAGAGGTGAGCGGTCCAAGGAAAAGGGGAAGGCCAAAGAAGACGTGGAAGATGCAAGTGGAGGAGGAGAGTGGGAAGGTTGGGATGAGGATGAGGGATGCTTTAAATCGTGAAAAGTGGAGGGAGGGGGTAAGAGCGATTGCCACTAGTTTAAGGTGAATCCGGCCACCCTCGTCTTCGGGGACCAAACCGGATTTAAAACTCTGAACTACTACTAACAGATCTTGAAGAACTGGTCACTATGTGTATATGCAAACACTGGTCAATGCATGAGCCTTGCACACCTCTAATACAGGGCTGCTTTAAGATATGATCAGCATGAAACGAGACAAATCCTGTAAAAGTTTCACTGCATACTTTTCACTACTTACGAATATATGTGTATTTTACAAGATAAAAAATGAGGAAAAGCTTTAATGGGATACAATACTTCATCTAGGGACTAAAATCGATGGTAGCCAGTGGCAACTTGAACAACTATTCAGTGCACAAGTAGCTGGTTTCACAGATCTGCAAATTCCACTGTATATTACACTCTTAAGCAAGTAATGGATTTGTGAATTTCAAGACATCACATCAAGAATTTATAAGATAAGCATATGAAACGGGTGTGATATGGATAAGGATCTCAATAAGTCATAATTTATAAAAGATTGTTCAAATAATCACAAATTAACCTTACATTTTTAGACTAAGCAAATGAGTATGTCTGTCAAAATACTAGTTAGTGTTCATCTTAGACTGCTAGTTTCTTTACTTATTCAACAATGCATTTTGCATTTTTTTTCAAAACTCAATCTAACCATTCTAAGCGTTCACTGTTTTGTGATACCACTGGTTAAAATACGCTCAACATTTGCATGGAACTTGCAGGTATCCAAGTTGTATACCTGCATCTCATGAATCTTTAATTATCTTGACTTCAGATTCCCAATCCAGGACAAGTACTGTATTTTCCTATTACTAGTGTATAGGCTTACATAAATGAGCCAAAATAGTCATACTTTACTGATCCTCCATACAATGAATGCACACATTGAGAAATTGAGAAGCACTTCTAATTGGCAAAATATGGTATTAGATTTTGCATAAACTGAAGACATTACATACATTATTCTTATCTGTGAGTAAACTTCAGTTTCCCAATTTCCATCTTCATCCTCCTCCTTTGGTTTCATAGCAGGAGCCAACACTCCACGGTTACTTTTAAATTGGGAGTTTTTATTTCCAGATGTTAAACCTCCCATTCCAGATGCACTCGGTCTGCCACTAGGAAGTTTCACATTATCAGTACGCTCAAGTTTCTTTTGTGCTGGTGAAGATACTTTGTCTGCAGGTGCAATGATATTTTTCTCTCTTGCATGTAGCTTTTGGTGGTGCATTTTGAGGCTGATTTCACTGTTGAATGTTTTCATACACAAATCACACTTCAGTGGATTATTTTTCTGATGTTGATACTCATGAGATTTAAATTCCTCCAATGTAAAGAAAGACTTATTACATAGCTGGCATCTATAAGGACTATTAACTAATGAAAAATACAGAAACAAAAATGTTATCTATCTGCAATAACTATTATAGTTAATAATGCATAACAATAATATTATGATTTTTTGTATATTATTAAAATAGTAGGAGTCTCCCAACGACTGCATAGCTTCGCAGCGCAATGCTAGCATGTTGCTTTCGCGGGGGAGAGCAGCAGTGGGGTGTCCCCCCTCGGTAGACCGAAGACTTTTAGAAAGTGCAAGACATATTTGATGGCAGGTTTGAATATATTTTTGTTCATTTT